CAGGAGCCATTTTGGACATACATAACATCTGTGCCAGCTTGTGTCTACACCAGGCAAGCAGCCAAGTGGAGACTCCTGATGCTGGTAGGGAAAAATAACAGGAAACTAGGAACTTGTGACTGTGTGAAACTTCTGAAGCAGGACTGTGAAAAAATAAAAAACTGAGGGTGTGCGGGAAGATTTGCGGTGTGACTGGGACTTTGAGCACTCTCAGTGGGAGAGGCCACAAGCTTGGGGGTTCCTGGTTACCTGATGAGAGACATTTCTGGAGAATCTGAATTTATACTGAGGACTACACAGATCCTTTGTGTTGTTCTTTGGACAGAGCAGACAAATATTATACCTACTGGGGCTAGTACTCAGGCACTGGTCTCCATTGAGGAGAAGAGCCCAACTGAGCAGAATATACTTCCCTTCTGATTAAAAAAAAAGGAGAAATAAGACTTAACATGCCAAACTTGGGTGTGTCACCTGAGGCACACCCTTAACCCTAGAGACTGAAGAGTTCTCTGGCCACATCCACTACAAGCCTCCAGAGATTCAGTGAAAGCAGAAAGACCACTTATCTACCGTACAAAAATAAATCCACCACAGTGGAATAAAAAAGAAGAAATCTTGCTGGTCTGGACAAGTGGTGGCAAATTCTTTCAATTTCTGTTTGTTATGAAAGGTCTTTATTTCACCTTCATTCACAAATGAGAGCTTTGCAGGGTATAATAATCTGGGATGACAGCTTTATTCTCTTAGGACTTGGGCTAGATTTTGCCATTTTCTCTTAGCCTGCAGGGTTTCTGATGAGAAGTCTGCTGTGAGTCTAATTGGAGATCCTCTGAGAGTAATCTGATGTTTCTCTCTTATGCATTTTAGAATCTTCTCTTTTTGTTTCATTGTGGCAGTTTGATTACAATGTGTCATGGCAAGGTTGTTTTCTGATCATGTCTATTCAAAGTTCTGTGTGCTTCCTGTACTTGGATGTCTCTTTCTTTTTCCAAACCCGGAAAGTTTTCTGCTAGTATTTCACTAAAAATGCCTTCTAATCCTTTCTCTCTCACCATGCCTGCAGGAACTCCTAGAACCAGAATGTTGGTCTTATTTTTTTTTTTATAGTATCCTGTAGATTCCCAACAGTCTTTTTTAGATTTCTAATCTCCTGTTCTTGTGTTTGGTTTGACTGTATACTTTCCTGTACTCTGTCTACTAAGTCTGGTATTCTCTCTTCTGCCTCACTGATTCTGTTTTTAAGGCTCTCCACTGCTTTTTTTATTTGTTGTATTGAATTCTTCATTTCATTTTGATTTCTTTTTAATATCTCAGTTTCATGTTCTGTTGAATTCTTCATTTCATCTTGATTCCTCCTGATAATTTTTATTTCATGGGAGATATTTTCTTTCATGTCCTTCATGGATTTCAGTAGTTTGTGCATTTGCTTTTGATTACTTCTATGTAATCTTATGACCAAATTTTTGAGTTCTATTTCTTGCATTTCTTCTCTCATCATCTTCATGACCTAGTATTGAAATGTCATGTTGTTTTGGGAGCATGATGATGTTTTCCTTATTCTTGCTTCTTGGATTCTTGCATTTGGCATTTGTGGAAATACTCGTCTTTTTTTTTTTCTGGCAGTTTTTATCATTGTATTATGACTGTAAATAAATGGACTTTCTGCTTTCACTGAATCTCTAGAGGCTTGTAGTGGGTGTGGCCAGAGAGCTCTGTTCAGTTTTCAAGGGTAAAGGGTATGCCTAAGGTGACACATCCAGGTTTGGCATGGTAAATCTTTTTTGAATCAGAAGGGAGTTATATTCTGTTCAGCTGAGTTCTTCTCTTCAATGGAGACCAGTGCCTGAGTACTAAATCAAGTGGGTATAATATTCACTATGTCCCAAGGACCACATAAGGATCTGTGCTCTCAATGTGGGACCTCTGTCCTTAGTGAGAATTAACAGTAAATCTAGTCTTCAAACACCTGTTTAGCTGGGAGCCTAGGAAAAAGTGCTCAGGCAAGTAATATTGTGAAAAATTAGTTCTAAGTAATATGAAAGATAACCCAGACAAAACAGCAGTCCAGCAAATCATTCAACCTCACTGAAACTACCAGCAGCTACATCATTCATTTTCTATTAAATCTGTTTATAATAAGATTTAATTTGATGAACACTTGCAAGAAGCTGTGGGGACTTAAACAGGGATGAAGAGCTATTTCTTATGGGTAGTAATGGAGTTGAAATGGATTAGTTGCACAGCTATTATCTAGATGGGAAATAAAAGAGCTACTGCAGCTAGATGCATCATAGCATTTGTAGCCCTGTTATCATGGGATAGCCAAGCAACCTAGGAAAAGTGTTCCTCCTGAGGGTATCCTGAGGAACTAACTGAATGTAAATCAGATTTATATTAATCCAGAAAGGACTTTCTAAATTGGAAGGAATAAAAATACACATTTTCAATAAAAATGAGGGCCACCTGCAGGAGCAGGGAATAATGCAACAAAAAAAGGTTGTAAAAAATTATAAGTTAAATTAATACAAAAATGTACTACAGGGGCCAGCACTGTGTCACAGCAGGTTAATGCCCTGACCTGAAATGCTGGCATCCCATATGGGTGCTGGTTCGAGACCCGGCTGCTCCACTTCCAATCTAACTCTCTGCTATGGCCTGAGAAATAGTAGAAGGCCCAAGTGCTTGGGTCCCTGCACCTACATGGGAGATCTGGAGGAAGCTCCTGGTTTTGGATCAGCACAGTTCTGGCCATTGTGGCCAATTGGGGAGTGAAGCATTGGATGGAAAATTCTCTCTCTCTGCTTCTGCTCTTTCTGTGTAACTCTGACTTTCAAATAAATAAATCTTTTTTTAAACAAATACTACATTTATGCTCCTGCTTCTCTATTGCAATGGGTATGACATGGATAGACTTCATTCCATGTTCTTGTCTCAAGGCAATTAGGAATAGAATGAAAAAGAGTAGAAAAGTGGCATCATGAATGAAAAAGGCATTATGCATTCAGTAATACAGGAAAATTCAGATGAGTGTTGCAACTTAGAGGGTTTGAGGTTGTCCCTTTAAAGAATGAGGGTAATGTGTGTGGCAATATCTACTTGCATATTCAAATAGACCTTGGGTAGTGGAGTCTAATCCAGATGTGCACACAGATAAGTTGAAATTTCTCATGGGTATATAGGTCACCACACACTCATTCCCTTGTGTTGCACACAACACTTATTATCCAGGGCCAGGGTACACTATTATGACTGGAACATGTGTCACTTGATATGCTTATGGTCACATCACTGGTTTGCACTACAATAATGAGGGGAAAGAATCCTGGGTGGCCAAAAAAGCAGCTATAAAACAAGTAACTTTGTAATTGATGAAGATGGTATTCCAAATAACTGTTGAAATAACTGTTACTCAACTTTTAAATATTTATTAACAAAATTTACACAAGAGAGCACAGTTCAGTTCATATACTTGATTCCACTCAGAATAATGAGAAACCAAAAGTTCCGGTTGAATAAGAGAAAAATTTCTGAAGAGCGGTTAACCACTCTCTGTCACAATTCATTATGAAAACTGCCCAATACTCACTAAGGTGTGATTCCACCAAAGAATTCTTCCAAACAAATTATACTTCAGGGACTTCTCTCTGTAATCTTGCTATGTTTTGTGGAAGTTTGCCTAATAATAAAGGTATTTCCTATTACAATAAATCATAGGATTTTTTCTTTCTGTGAGTTGTCAGGTAACCATTGACAGGTGACATATGGTACATAACTTTTCTATGCATGTATGTTTTCTCATTTCAGAGTCTCTTCATGTGAATTGATTAATGGCAGAAAATTTTTTCACATTCATTAAATTGACATTTTACTGTATGAATTCTCTGGTGTTAGTTGATGTTTAATTTCTTTTTTTTAAGATTTTTATTTATTTGACAGGTAGAGCTACAGACAGTGAGAGAGACAGAGATAAAGGTCTTCCTTCTGTTGGTTCACTCCTCAAATGGCCACAGTGGCCAGAGCTGCACTGATCTGAAGCCAGGAGCCAGGTGCTTCTTCCTAGTCTTCCATGTGGGTGCAGAGGCCCAAGCACTTGGGCTGTCTTCTATTGCTTTCCCAGGCCACAGTAGAGAGCTGGATTGAAGAGGGGCAGCTGGGACTAGAACTCGCACCCATATGGGATGCCAGCATAGCAGGTGGAGGATTAACCTATTGCTCCACGGCGCCGGCCTGATGTTTAATTTCTGGCTATGGTTTTTTGAGTTCTATTGCACTTGAAGGATATCGCCTTTCTTGAGTTGCATATTTATGCAAACCTGAATTCTATGAAAATATACTTCCACATTCATTACACTCCTAAGAAACCACTTGTGTGAATTTTCTGATGTATAATGCCATTTCTGACAAATGGCTTTTTGTCACACTAATAATATTTCTGAAATTCTTCATTTTCTTTAACAATTTGTGTTATTTATTTGAAAGTCAGAGTTAGAGAGAGACAGGGAAGCAGAAAGAGGTCTTCCATCTGCTAGTTCACTCCCCAGATGGATGCAATGGCTGGAGCTGCAGTGATCCAAAGCCAGGAGTCAGGAGCTTCTTCTGGGTCTCCCATGTGGGTGCAGGGCCATCTTCTACTGCTTTCCTAGGACATAGCAGAGAGCTGGATCAGAAGAGGAGCAACTGGGACTAGAACCAGTGCCCACATGGTATGCCTGCATTTCAGGCCAGGGCTTTAACCTACTGTGCCACAGCGCTGGTCCCAACCTTTCTTCCTTATGGGAGTGCCTATTGTATGGGATGTAATTTCCAGCAAAAGGCTCTGTCACATGGTTATGTTGACTTTGGAAAAAGTCCTTCACATTCATTATATCCTTAAGTTCTCTCCCTTGTTTGATCTACATGTTATGAGGTATTCCTTCTGACAAAAGGCTTTCCCACATTTATTACAAGATTTCCTATCATGTAATAAATTCTCTGATGTTATATTGTGTAATTTTGGCAGAGTTTTCCAAAATTCATTCCATTCATAAGGTTTCTCCCCCATGTGAATTCTGATGTTTTATGAGGTGTTACTTATGGATAAAGGCATTATATCCAAAGTGTTTTCCCCCATATGAATTAGATGATGTGCAATGAGGGCTGAATTATGGGAAAAAGCTTTCCAAGTCATTATGTCCAAAAGGTTTCTCTTTATGTGCATTTTCTGATGCATTCTGAGATGTGACTTATTGCCAAGGGCTTTTCTACAGTCATTGCATTCATGAAGTTTCTCCCTGGTGTGAATTCTGTGGTGTAATATGAGCTGTGAATTATAACATGATTTATAAAGGCTTTTCCACACGTACTAGATTCATAAGGTTTCTGCCCTGTGTGAACTGTTTTCATATGAGTATAACTTATAGAAAAAGGCTTTTCCACAGTCATTACATTTATGAGGTTTCTCCCCTGTGTGAATTCTCTGGTGCACGATGAGGTGTGACTTTTGTCCAAAGGTTTTCCACAGTCATTACATTTATGAGGTTTCTCTCCTGTGTGAATTCGCTGATGTTTCCTGAGGCCTGACTTGTATCCGAAGGCTTTTCCACAGTCATTACATTTATGAGGTTTCTCCCCTGTGTGCATTCGCTGGTGCACGATGAGGTGTGACTTATGTCCAAAGGCTTTTCCACAGTCATTACATTTATGAGGTTTCTCCCCTGTGTGAATTTGCTGGTGTATGATGAGGTTTGACTTTTGTCCAAAGGCTTTTCCACAGTCATTACATTTATGAAGTTTCTCCCCTGTGTGAATTCGCTGATGTATGAGGAGGGATGACTTTTGTCCAAAGGCTTTTCCACAGTCATTACATTTATGAGGTTTCTCCCCTGTGTGAATTCGCTGGTGTATGAGGAGGGATGACTTGCGTCCAAAGGCTTTTCCACAGTCATTACATTTATGAGGTTTCTCCCCTGTGTGAATTCGTTGGTGTATGAGGAGGGATGACTTGCGTCCAAAGGCTTTTCCACAGTCATTACATTTATGAGGTTTCTCCCCTGTGTGAATTCGCTGATGTATGAGCAGGGCTGACATTTGTCCAAAGGCTTTTCCACAGTCATTACATTTATGAGGTTTCTGCCCTGTGTGAATTTGCTGGTGTCTGATGAGGTCTGAGTTTTGTCCAAAGGCTTTTCCACAGTCATTACATTTATGAGGTTTCTCCCCTGTGTGAATTCGCTGATGTTTCCTGAGGCCTGACTTGTGTCCGAAGGCTTTTCCACAGTCATTGCATTTATGAGGTTTCTGCCCTGTGTGAATTCGCTGGTGTATGAGGAGGGCTGACTTTGTTCCAAAGGCTTTTCCACAGTCATTACATTTATGAGGTTTCTCCCCTGTGTGAATTTGCTGGTGTATGATGAGGTTTGACTTTTGTCCAAAGGCTTTTCCACAGTCATTACATTTATGAGGTTTCTCCCCTGTGTGAATTCGCTGGTGTATGAGGAGGGATGACTTGTGTCCAAAGGCTTTTCCACAGTCATTACATTTATGAGGTTTCTGCCCTGTGTGAATTTGCTGGTGTATGATGAGGTCTGGCTTTCGTCCAAAGGCTTTTCCACAGTCATTACATTTATGAGGTTTCTCCCCTGTGTGAATTCGCTGGTGTATGAGGAAGGATGACTTGTGTCCAAAGGCTTTTCCACAGTCATTACATTTATGAGGTTTCTCCCCTGTGTGAATTCGTTGGTGTATTATGAGGTGTGACTTTTGTCCAAAGGCTTTTCCACAATCATTACATTTATGAGGTTTCTCCCCTGTGTGAATTCGCTGGTGTATGATGAGGGTTGACTTTTGTCCAAAGGCTTTTCCACAGTCATTACATTTATGAGGTTTCTGCCCTGTGTGAATTCGCTGGTGTATGAGGAGGGATGACTTGCGTCCAAAGGCTTTTCCACAGTCATTACATTTATGAGGTTTCTCCCCTGTGTGAATTCTCTGGTGTACTATGAGGTCTGACTTCCACAGAAAGCCTTTTCCACATTGAAGGCATTTATAAAGTTTCTCTCCTGTGTGAATTCGCTGATGGTTTATGAGGTATGACTTCTGTGTAAAGGCTTTTCCACAGTCACTACATTCATGAGGTTTCTCCCCTGTGTGAATTTGCTGATGTTTCCTGAGGAATGAATTTTGTCTAAAGGCCTTTTCCACAGTCATTACATTCGGAAGGTGAATTAAAACTGAGTGATTTTCCACAAGGTTTACATGTGTAAACGTTTTTCCCTTGTATTTAGTCTCTGGTTTATTGCAAGATGTGACTGGTGAATGACAGGTTCAACATACATAATGTACTTATAAAATTTCTTTCTTGTGTGAGTTTGTTGATGCATATTGAGGCTAGAATTTTCATGGATAGCTTTTTCTATTTGCGTTGCTTTTCCAAAAGTGGACAGTTGACTTATTATGGTTTTCTGCCATATGAACCCTCTCAGATTTACAGAACATCTTTCTTGTGAAGACTTTTGCTTGTCCAGTGGGTCCAAATGGCTGCTTCATGATGTGAATATTGTCAAGCTGACTAAGAGGCTCACAGAACTGGAGAGATTTTCCAGGTATCTTAGTGTTATCAAATTTCTCTCCAGCCTGTAGTTGATCAGGCCCACTGGGGGGATACACAGTGTGACATTTATTGCATTCCTCAGGCTTCAATCCTGAATAGATTCCCTTTTTAATAATCAGTGTTGGAACATGGCTTGAATTTAAACTAAGTGTTTTTCTTAATTCAATTCTCTTGAGAGCTGATGTCTTGTTATTTTTCATAAAATCATGATTCAGATTTTTGTCCTGACTTTCCTGGTTGATCCTAATCAGGTCATCCCTTTTCATGACCACTGAAATGAGAAAAAAGCAATCATGTCACTGAATCACATGTAACCTGTTTCTCCTGGCATACTCATGTAAAGGGAATGAAGTTACTTGTTATCCAAATGGCATAAGATGTTCACAAAATCAGTATGAGGTACTTATTTGTGACCATTATATGGTTTTTCTCCTTAATACATTAATATACCATAAGGTTTCCCAATGTTCAAACATGATCCTTTCTACTATGAGAATTTGTCAAGGATGGTAGAATGACTTTTGTGCTATGATGTGTGGGATACCTGCATCTCAAAACAGTGTCAGTTTGAGCCCTGGCTACTCTGCTTTCAGTACAGCTCTCTGCCTATGTAAACTGGAAGGAACCAGATAATGGTTCATGTGCCTGGGAACCTGTGAGAAACTAGGGAAGACTAGAGGGATTCTAGAGTTTTGGCTTCAGACTAGTTAGACCTAAGTGTTGCAGGCATCTGGGAAGTGAGCTAATAGAGGACCTCTTTCTCTCTCTCTCTTCTCTCACTATCACTCTGCCTTTCACAAAGATGAAATAACTATAAAATATTTTAAAGAATGGGCAAATATGTAATAAAAACATTCACCCACTACCTAGCAACCATTTTTTTCCCTGTGCTTTTTCTCCAGTTTATTTTTATAAAAATTGTGTGCTTTTTGCTTCTCTGATATCTCAACCATAAACATGAAAAAGTTTTACTGATCATTTACTTGCAGGTGGAGAAGAGTGAAATGTGCCTGTACTTTAAGCAGGACAACATTTAAGGAGTAGGACTTAAATCTATGAGTGTCTCATGCTCAGTCTTCCTAGGTAAACAGTCATTTGTGGGATTTTTCAAATGAAAAACTACTTTGTCTCTACTCTATGACAGCTTCCCCAAATTCCTAAGGACACCCAACACCTTCAGCTTCTCAGAAGTACAACAGGTACAGAAAATTCCCAATATACGACTTTAGTTAAACACTCCCAATCAGTTTGAAGAATTTGTTTCTGCAAACCAGGATGTGCTCATCTTCTTTCAAAAGTGGTTTCTAACTCATTCTGAAATCATCAGTGCTGGTTACCTCCTCTAAAGTCTTTCTAGAAACATTCCTGTGTGATAATTTGAATTTCTGGAGGCATTTGATCAGTTGCCTCCTATTTTCACTGAAAGCTTCATTTCCTATGTTTTTCTTATCTTTTTATTTGCATATTTTTCAATGATACTGAAAATAAGAGAGAAATCATACTTCAAACTCCACCCTTCAAGAAATCTGAGCCACTCAACATAACCCCACGAGGCTACTTGACCTTGGGTCTCAAAATCTCATTACTTTCTTGGTGAGTCTAGGATCACTTATTTTCATGTTTTATATAAGTTCATGCTTAGTTTAGGATTTCTTTTTTCAAAGATTTACTTTATTTATTTGAAAGCTAGAATTAAAGAGAGAGAGAGAAGTCTTTCATCTGCTGGTTCACTCCCCATATGGGAACAACAACCAATGCTGGGCCAAAATGAAGTTAGGAGCAAGGAGTGTCTTTCTTGTCTCCCACATGGGTACAGGGGGCCAAGGATTTGGTCCAACCTCTGCACTTTTCTCAGATGCATTAGCAGAGAGCTGGATTAGGAAGAGGACCAGCTGGGACTTGAACTGGCACCCATATGCAATGCTAGTGTTGCAGGCTGGAGCTTTAACACACTGCACCACAGTGTCATTGCTAGCTTCATAATTTCTGATGTCACAGCACAGAGGCTTACTCATGACCATCTTTTATTTTTTTTTTTAAGATTTATTTATTTGAAAGTCAGAGTTACAAGAGAGAGGAGAGGCAAAGAGAGTAAGATCTTCCAACCAATGGTTCACTCCCCAATTGGCCACAATGGCCAGAATTGTGCTGATCTGAAGCCAGGAGCCAGGAGCTGCTTCTGTGTCTCCCTCAGGTGCAGGAGCCCAAGGACTTGCACCATCTTCTACTGCTTTCCCAGGCCATAGCCAAGAGCTAGATGAGAAGTGGAGCAACTGGGTCTCAAACTGGTGCCCATATGGGATGCTGGTGCTTCAGGCTAGGGTGTTAATTCACTGTGCCACAGCACCGGCCACATGACCATCTTTTAGCATTTACTTATTTACTTACTTGAGAGTAAGAGAGACAGAATAAAGATAAAGACAGACTGAAACAGAGCTTTGCCAACTATAGGCTCACTCCTCAAATGTTTCCAACAGACTATAATTTTCTTATTTATTTTAGAAGCACAGAGGGAAAAAAAGAAAGAGACTAAGAAAGAGAGAGTTCACATTTATTGATTCAGTCCTGAGCAAGTTCTATGCCTGGGCAAAATCATGAGTGGGAACTCAATCTGAGCAATGAGTTAGAAATAAGTTTCCAGGGGCTGGCATTGTGGCATAGCAGGTAAAGCCACCACCTGAGGTGCTGCCATCACTTATGCGCACCAGTTTAAGTCCTAGCTGCAGACTGACCTGAAAGGCTCTGATTCAAGCATTCATCCACCATCCATGGCTCTTCTCCTCGCTCCAACTTGAAGATCAAGTCAGGTTTGGTAATGCAGTGCCCTATTAATGGAAACAAAGTAAGACTTTGTAAACTCACTATCTTGGGTTATTTAAAGGACTACAGCTTGGTTCAGGAGCTATGCAACAAATGTTCCAATTTGAATCTTTTGTTAGATGGTAGATATTCAGATTATTCACAGACTCAAATTCTAATCCTGCCCAATATTAAACATTATAAAGTGTTCCCTTATTTGTCAAATAGCAAGAAAATGTTATCACTGGGCATGTGATGGGTGTCACTCACCCAAGGAGAACAGGCTGCTGTAGGTCTCCAGCATCACATCTCTGTACAGGATCTTCTGAGCATTGTTCATTTTCTTCCATTCCTCCCACGTAAAGTACACAGCCAGGTCTTCAAATGCTGTCATTACCTATAATAATACACTTCCAGTCAACATGTTAGCTCTGTCACAAAATAAACACTGACAGTTGTGTATGGATATGAAGGAAAAAAGGAAGGATATGGTTTCACATTAGACTTGTGGAGTGTTTAGAAAGCCACATGGAGCATTCAACAGAGTCAAACCCATGATCTACAGGCTGTGAGAAATGCCCAACCTAGAGGGAAACAGGAGGTTCAAATCACAAATGCCACATCATTCAAGGGGAATTGCACAGCAGGCTAGAAGAGGGGCAATACTGACTCTTGACTGGGCAATGTTAAGGAGAAGTATGTAGAAGCATTGAGAAAAAAGGCAAGAAACCATCAGTGAAACTATGATGGGAATGAACAGAAAACAATTTCCAGGAAAACACCATGCATATCATTTCCAATATGTCAGAGAAAAAATATATTAAAAGACAGGGCAGACATTTAGCTTAGTGTTGTTTATGATGCCACCTCAGAGTGTCCATGACTTCCAATGCCAGCTGTAGTTTCTAGCTCCCAGATAATGCAAACCTGGGGAAGCAATGGTGATGTCACCAATGAAGGAGGCCTAGATTCCATTCCTCAATCCTGGCTTCAGTCCTGCCCCACCTGTTTGGTATGCTTATCTAGGAAGTGAATTAATGTGTCAAAGCTCTCTATCTCTCAGTCCATCAACTTTTTTCTCTATCAAGCTAATAAATATTTTTAAGAGAGAAAATACAGGTAAGACAAAGAATACAAATTAGCTTTTGCCCTTGTCTATGATTATTCTACTGATAAACAATTGAAATAACATTATACCTAATTAAAGTGAAAGCAATGGAAATACTTGCCCAAAACATTCAAATGATAAACATTTGAAATGACATTATACATAATTAAATGAAAGCAATGGAATTATTTGCCCAAAAAGAGAACCTGGGAATGTCTGCAGTACAATCTGCATTTGTGACTCACTGAGAAAAATGCTTAGAGATTTGTTTCAGAACTTGCAATAGTCACCAGAATTGTGATCCAGCAGGCTAAGCCTCCACCATCAATGCTGGCATCCCATGTAAACAGAGGACTTGACTCCTTGCTGCTCCACTTCCAATCTAGTTCCCTGCTAATCTGATTGAAAGAGCAGTGAAAATGGCCTGAGTATTTGGACCCTTCCACCAATGTGGGAGACCCATGGAGTCCCAGGCTCCTGGCTTTGGCCTGGCCCAGTCCCAGCCATTGTGGGCATTTGGGGAATGAACACTAGATAGAAGATATATCCTTTTGTCTCCCTGTCTCTCCCAATCTCTGCAAGTCCACCTTTCAAATAAATAATCTTAAAAAAATAAATGAGCCTCCAGTAGATTCTTTTCTCCACACATTCCTTATCCTATTCCAGAATCCAATTCAGCTTCTCAAAGGTATTAAGAACTCCATTACTCTAACAATTTGAAAACAAACTTAACTGATTTGTGTTCCAGCACTAGGTAACTCTTCCTCTTGCAGAATGCTAAGTGTTTACTTATAGGTAGCACTAAAACACTGTTCAGTACATCATCTATGTGTAGAATGTTTCAGACATGACCCCAAAAATGTAGCATATTGTGCTTAGTTTCAACTCAATTCATGTAACAAATATATATTTTGCTATAGCAACAGAAAGACAAGAGACCAAACTGCATTATTATAGATGACAGTAATGTTTCATAATCATGCCAAATTCATAATTCATTTCTGTATATTCTGTGATAACAAATTTTATGTTTATTTTTCTATTTTAAAATTTTGTAAAGATTTATTTATTTATTTGAAAGTCAGAGTTACACAGAGAGAGGAGAGGCAGAGAGAGAGAGAGGTCTTCCATCTGCTGGTTCAGTCCCCAATTGGCTGCAATGGCTGGAACTGCTCCAATCTGAAGCCAGGAACCAGGAGCTTCTTCTGGGTCTCCCACATGAGTTCAGGGGCCCAAGGACCTGGGCCATCTTCCACTGCTTTCCCAGGCCATAGTAGAGAGCTGGAACAGAAGTGGAGTAGCCGGGTCTCAAACCAGTGCCTATATGGGAAGTCGATACTTTAGACCAGGGCATTAACCCACTGAGCCACAGAGCCAACCCCATATTTTCCATTTTAATTAACTAGTATACTGGGACTGGCACTGTGGCTAGCAGGTAAAGCCACTGCCTTCAGTGCTGGCATCCCATATTGGTGCCAGTTCAAGTCCCAGTGGCTTCACTTCCAATCCAGCTCTCTGCTATGGCCTGGGAATTCAGTAGAAGATGACCTAAGTCCTTGGGCCCCTGAACCCATGTGGGAGACCCAGAAGAAGCTCTTCACTTCTAGCTTTGGACCAGTGCAACTCGGGCCATTGTGGCAAACTAGGGAGTGCACCAGCAGATGGAAGACTCTCTCTCTCTCTCCCCCTCTGCCTCTCTGTAACTCTTTCAAATAAATAAAAAAAAATCTAAAAAAATAAATAAATAAACTAGCATTAAACACCTAAAATGAGTACTGACAAGCTGGGGAATAATTAAAAAAAAAAAACACTTACAGGTGATATATTAATTTTCTTTCCTCTTAGAAACATGTGGAGGACCCAGAATCATACCTGGGAGAGAAGGTGAATGGCAGGAGTTCAAAGAAAACTCTAGAGGCCAACGCTGTGGCATAATGGGTAAAGCTGCTGCCTTACAGTGCCAGCATTCCATATGGGTTCTGGTTTGAGTACTGCCTCCTCAACATACAATCTAGCTTTCTGCTATGTCCTGAGAAAGCAGTGGAACATGGTCCAAGTCCTTGGGCCACTGCACCTGCATGGGAGACCCAGAAGCTCTTGGGTCTTGGCTTTGGATCGGCTGAGCTCCAGCCTTTGCAGTAATTTGGAGGGTGAGCCAGCAGATAGAAGACTTTCTCTCTCTGCAACTCTGTCAATAAATAAATGAAATCTTAAAAAAAAAAAAAACCTCTGGTTTCCTTCTGCACTGAACAGTGGGGAAAAAAGGGATATAGTAGAATGAATAAAGAAGAATAAATACATTAACCAAGAAAACATCAGCTTCACTGTGGAGGAATAAACCTCTAAAAATAGAAATACATAGGAAAATGCACCCACCTATATTAAGTGGCAGAGATTAAACAGAAGTTATCATTGGTTTAATGAAAGCATTATCTACAAATTTTGTAAAATAATAATGTGAAAGTAAAAAGAAAAGTTGAGTGTTCAAATGAATAAGGTTATCAGAGATAAACATTATGTTGTTATTAAAGTTTATACTAAAGAAAGTTAACAAATACACATAATGTATATTTAATGCAGTGCACTTTACCAGTAATGATTCCAAGTAGCACCTTTCCCTGTATTCATCCCTTCACAAAACCCTGGATTGGGGTTGGCACTGTGGCCTAGCGGGTAAAACTGCCACCTGCAGACTGGCATCCCATATAGGCACTGGTTTGATTCCCAGCTGCCCCACTTCTGATCCAGCTTTCTGCTATGGCCTGGGAAAGCAGTAGAAGATGGCCCAAGTCCTTGGGCCCTAGGTACCCATGTGGAAGACCCAGAAGAGCTCCTGGATCCTGGCTTTGGATTGGCATAACTCTGGCCATTGCAGCCAACTGGGGAGTGAACCAGCAGATGGAAGAGCACTCTATCTCTCTCTCTGCCTCTCCCTCTCTCTGTGTGTAACTCTTTCAAATAAATAAATAAATCTTTTTGAAAAAGACCACGAATTTCACCATTTCAATTGATTTACCCCATGAGATACCAGTAAATGTGATAGAAATAGACAATTTGTAAAATATTTATTTATATGAAAGAGTTGCACAAAGAGAGAAGGAGAGGCAGAGAAAGAGAGAGAGGGAGAAGGAGGAATAAAGAGAGGTCTTCGAACTGCAGGTTCACTCCCAGATAGCTGCAATGGCTGGAGCTGTGTAGATCCAAAGATATGAACCAGGAGCTTCTTTCAGGTCTCCCACAAGGGAGCAGGGGCCAAAGGACTTGGGCCATCTTCTACTGTTTTTCCAGGCTGTAGCAAAGAGCTGGATCAGAAGTGGAGCAGCTGAGTCATGAACTGACACCCATATGAGATGCTGGCACTGCAGGCGGTGTCTTTACTTCCTATGTCACAGAACCAGCCCCAGAAATAGACATTTGTAAAGTATTTGCCTTCTCAGATTTTCTTTTCTGACAGTTATCTTCTGAAAAACCCTGGGGCCTGCCTGTTGAAGAGATAGTATGTAGGCTGGCGCCGTGGCTCACTAGGTTAATCCTCCACCCGTGGCACTGGTATTCCAGGTGACAGTCTCAGTTGGGGTGCTGGTTCTGACCCAGTTGCTCCTATTCCAGTCCAGTTCTCGGCTGTGGCCTGGGAAGGCAGTGGAGGATGGCCCAAGTTCTTGGGCCATGCACCCACAAGGGAGACCAGGAGGAAGTGCCTGTCTCCTAGCTTTGGATCAGCACAGCATGCTGGCCATAGCAGCCATTTGGGGGGTGAACCAATGGAAGGAAGGCATTTCTCTCTGTCTCTCTCTCTCTCACTAACTCTGCCTGTCAAAAAAAGAAAAAAGAGATAATATATAGCCAAGATTCACCACAAACCCCAGACACTTAAGTGAAGCCTCAATCAGTTCCCCAAATGGCTAAACTCTCATTTCTGCTCCTGGACTGATCATAGGAACTGCCCAGCTGAGTACAGCCCAAAACACAGAGTCAGAACTGCAAATCAAATGGCTATTTGTTAAGCCATTGTGTTTTCTGATTTGTCCTACATCAAATGCTGATATATATCAGTAAGTATGGCAGAAAGTTGAATTACATGCAAACTACAATGCATACAACTTCAAAATTTCATTTGGAAGTTCCCAATGGCCAACAGGCACATGAAAAAATGTTCAAGGTCATTAGCAATCAGGGAAATGCAAATCAAAACCACAATGAGGTTTCACCTCACCCCGGATAGAATGGCTCAGATGCAGAAATCTACCAACAACAGATGCTGG